CTAATATTGCCCCTTAAAATGTACTTGATAAATTTCAGCTGCTCACATGTAGGCCTGTCACGATAACAAATTTTGCTGGGCGATTAATTGTCTCAAAATTTATTGCGATAAGCGATAATATTGCCTGGTGACCGTTTTACAACTAATAATTATAAAAGCGTAATRTGTAAGTGTAATACATCAATAAACTTTCATTTTTAAAAGAATGTTTAACAAAGTGGACTCTCAGTCTCTAACAAAAATGCACTTGAATAAAAAAAAACAAAGAACCGATAATATTGCCTGGTGACCATTTTACAACTAATAATTATAAAAGCGTAATATGTAAGTGTAATACATCAATAAACTTTAATTTTTAAAAGAATGTTTAACAAAGTGGACTCTCAGTCTCTAACAAAAATGCACTTGAATAAAAAAAAACAAAGAACCACAAAATGTAAATTAAACACCCCACACAACTAAGACAGTAAATAAACAATATTAAAGAGCAGCATGTCTTTAGAGATGAAGCAAACTACACAGCCTGGTGAGGACCCACTGTTTCTTATGGGGACATAAGCCCAGTTCACATCTGCAATTGCTCCGACACTGCAGCAGCCGCGTTCTGCTTTGAAATGTTTCTTTAGTTTGTTATTGCTACAAGCTCTCATGCTAACGCGAGAGTTCACTCTTCCCGACACTAAGTAAACAGGAGGGGAGGGGTCAGCTGAGCTCCTGTGCAGTGGAGCACAGAGAGGGAGCGAGACGAAGTAAACAAACAAGCAGGAAAATGAAACTTATCGTCCTCATTTCTTTTACCGACCTCAAAATAACTTATTGTGCAATTAATCGATTTATTGACTATTGCGACAGGCCTAACAAAGTTTACTATATATAAATGTTCTCAGTTTCAGGAGCTGCTTGAGTTGAACTTCCTCATCCTCTTCTTTCAACAGAGACACAGAGTATTTAAAGCTCAGGGATTAAAGGAGCAAAAATATATTTCTACTAAATGTTTTCTACACCTCGATGTTAGCCAAACATTGCCCTCCACCACCACCCAATACCACAGCTTCTGCCTGCATACAGGTCAAAGTTTTTCACTTAAATAGGAATATACTGTGTACATGACCTTAGTAAAAGTACACAGATTAGTATTCTCTAATGAAGCTTTCACGTTGTAAAAAGACTTTAAACTGGAACATTTATATTTTCAAGACTGAAGACTTTCTGATGAAGAGAGGTTTTAAACAGCTTTTCTCTCATTTTCTTTTATGTCATTTTAGTGTTTTTAACTGAGAAGATGTCTGATATATTTATTTTTAAAAAGTACAGCATGGGAGGTTTTTTGAACAGAATAAATTAATTTTACTGTATTTTTCTTTTGACCAAACTGACATATTTCTCCCCTGAAATGATTGTTTGATGATGATTGAATGATGATAGTGATCAAAAGGGATTACATTATATCTACAGGATTTCAGGTCATGCAGTCATTCATATTTACTGAATTACACAAAACAGCAACAACACTATGTTGCAAAAACACCTGGTAGAATTAAATTTAGCAAATATTTATAAATACCTGAAGTTGACTCTCGGAGAACTCTGTGATTTCAGGGGAAAATTAAAGCCAAACTGAGACATGTCTGTGTTATAATGTGGGGCATATAAACATCCAAGTGTTAATATTGTTTAGGTATAAAAACTAAAGTGCGCTCCTGCGACGCTCTTTATTGTGTGATTATTTTTGTGATTACATTGATGTTTTTATGTACAGACTGGGCTGAGTGGCTATCAAARATGGTTACACAGAGCAGGAGGTACATATAGGTAAAATACAGGCCTGAACACACTTACAACATTTAATCGAACTGCAGTTTTAACACGAGGACAGGAAATATGTCAGGGGACCTGATTTCAGCTGTAGATTGGCCCATTTGAGTGATGCAATAACAATAGGCGGAGTCAGGTCCTGAAGGAGGTTATAAAAGCATCACTGCTTCCTGAATCTTTTGCTGAAAGCACGGAGAGAGCATTAAAGGTGGTTCAGACCAGCGCTGTTGTGGCTGCAGAACTCTTTTATTCAAACATTCAAAAATTGGTAGATTTTCTATCTGATTACGAACACCTATTAAGGTAAAAGAACACATCTGAAATTCCTTTCAGAATCATAAATTTAATCCCTAGACAGCTTTAACAYGKTTTTTTTTCTCCCTTTTRATTTTATAAATGATGGACATCCATCACTAAKGAGAACTTATGCTTTCTCATGCTTCTAAGTGAATATGTTTGTCTGCACCGTAGACCTAAAGCACTCCGTAGGTAAGATCAGGTCATGTAAGAATTTTTTTTTGAATGAAGTAAAAAAAAAAAAAAAGCAAAAGCCAACAAATCACTTACTGTGTTGCTTTCACAATGTCCCAAGTGCTGCTGTCATCCATATGGGACCGTTTCTTCGGCTGCTGACTGATGTCCATCGTCTGGTCTGCGCTTTTACCCAGCTGTCCATAAGYAGGCATGTACAGGTTCGTCATCCCGCCAAAACCTGCCACTCTTGGCCCGTGACTGTGAGAGTGGCCCGAGTGCCCATGCTGACAGTTGTCATGCATGTGGCCGTGACCCTTTAACACACACACACACACACACAAAATTAAATAAAAATAAATAATAAAATACAAGACAGTTTTAATCCAAGATAAACATGAAAATGACAGACTAAGAAATCAGGTCCAAAGAATTATCCTACACCAGGGATAGTCAATCCTGGTCCTTGAGGTCCGCAGCCCTGCACGTTTTACTTTTTTCCCTTTCTCTAACTCACCTGACTCAGTCAGCGAATCACCTCTTCCAAGTTCTGCAGAAGCCTGATAATCATCCATTCATTCAAATCAGGTGTGTTGGAGCAGAGAAACAAGTAAAACGTGAGGGGCTACGGACCTCGACGACCAGAACTGACTATCCCTGTCCTACAACAACGCAATAAAGTTCTGAAAAACAAAATGTTGTACAAGTGTTTCGACAGCCATATATATTTTCTTTATATTTCCACAATTTCTCCCCTCTTCTCTGGTGAACCAAATGACTAACTTTAAGTTTGACCACTTATCCTCCCAACATAAAGCTGTCAAACATGACTCACTGTGTGCAAGCTGTAAAGTTTAGCAACACGCAAATACAACGCAAGATAACTTGAACTCGTAAGCCGACAGAGATTTGGCCAAACAAGTCRTACTGAAGTCGGTGACGCTTTAGAAAAGTGGGCTTTTCAGGCCAGTCCTGTTGGGTGTTTCCTATTTTTGCATGACTGTGGAAGAGAAACTGCAGGAAGAGGAGTTGCTTTACTGAGAAAAGYAAAGGAAGAATGTGAATAAAAAGCTAACAGAGTAACAAATGTTGCTGCATGAGCTGATAAAAAAGGAAAAGAGGCAGCTTCTCTGCATCAGTTCAAGTAGAAAATGACTAAATGCATTATTTTGCATAAAATAATATTTTTTTCTTGACTCTAGACTGAATGAACTATATATACATATAATTCTTAACTCATTTTTGTYCTGCTGAGTTATTTAGACAAAACACCAATTTTGATAGATAGAACATGATTAATAAACACAATTCAGACGTTAAAGTGCCAACTTTATTTTTGGTTACAAATTGATTGTTTTACTCTGACAAACACTGTTTATCACTCATTTTATTTATTTTTAATGAATTATTGATTTAACTTTAAAGATTAAACACATCATAAAAATATGTGTGCTGTTTGTCAGACTAATTACATGTTAAATCTGAAGCGCTTACAACCTGAGTGTTCACAGATGATTACATTTATCGACACATGGAAAAGGTTTAACATGGACGTTAACATTCAGGGAAAAAAAAGATGAACAAATAATGCAACTAGAAGAGGATTCACCGATAATATGATGCCCAGGATAAACAGCTGTCTCAATCAGAGACATTTTATAAAAAGGAAACGTGGACGTCGCCTGCGTTGTCTTACGGAAATAAGCTCAGTTTTCCTGATGAGGTCTGATTGGCCGGTTAGCTGGTTTCGTTTATTATCAGGATTCTGTTTCTAGGTAAACTGCACCAAATGAAGCTAAAATATAACTGGCAGCCGTCTCATTATAAAYCAAACTGAGCAGGTTTTTCCGCGTCGCAGCAACTTACCCCAGGTTACGGCTGAACAGGCTTAGCTAGTTTATGCTAGCAACACGCTCAAATAACACCGACAGATCAAAATACGCGAATCAGGTTTGATCCCGGGGAACCAGACACGTCCAACAGAAAAAATAAAAAGCAGCTAACGAACGTAAATTCACTTACATTTCCGTCATCATTCCAGTCCATCTCGGTGTGTAGGAACTCTGCAGCTGGACGACATGCTCAACTTCCTCTTATTGTTTTTCAAAGTAAAAGCCCCAAAGTTCTGATTCATCTGGGAAAATTGGACTGGTAGATGGAAATACATCAACTTGCATTTCACTTAAACCAGTAAAATACTTTGTTTTTAATTTTATGCACGATTTAAGTTAAAAATTTACAACATTCTCGACATCTTTTCAAGGTATCAGGCATTTAGGAGACAATCAGACATAAATAGAACAAGAAAGAATACCAGTGTCCCTATAACATGTTATGCAAGTATTGGAATATATTGTAATTTTATTGCCTCAATTAATTAAATCTCTAATATTATATGGAAACATTAAACAAAAATACCTAATTCTATTTGAATGATTTGAGTGATTTCAGGCTGAACCTTTTTTAGGCTAAAACAACTAATCATTGTTAATGGCATTATTATTATTATTATTATTATTATTATTATTATTATTATTATTATTATTATTATTATTATTATTATTTATATTGCTTGCTGCACTGACTCACATGCTACACAATAAACTACCAGGACTATTGTGTGGTTATTAAAATAAATCTACGTTTGGCACAATAACAAAAAAAAAAAAGAGTCTTAAATCTAAATGCAAGTGAAAAAAATAAGTGCAAGTGTTCATCTTTTATTTTGGTTTGCAAATGTGAAATTTTAAACTGCTTCTTGAATAATATTTTATTTAACAAACCATGCCTGACACACTCTGTAATCATATTTCTGTGTAAATTGTTTTTGAAAGTCTACTAGAAAAGCTTCCCTTTTATTTTGAAGGGCCCAGAATGAAACAGGAAATGATAAATTCACCTGCTGCTTCCTTCTTCCTGAAAGTGCAACAATAATTTTCACTGGGCTGTTGTTTTACTTCCACCTACAGGCCTTTCCGGCTGCTGCCAACTTACCCTATTTGCAAAATTTTACATAAATATGAAAAAAGTTATTTTGTGTGTAACAAC